AAAAAAAGATTAAGCAGTCCTCCATGCTTAATCTTAGTCTCAGGCAAAATCTCTGGATGTGAGCACAATGCAGACAAACTTTCTACCAAGCCAAAACACATATTGTCTGGAGTCTAGCAACCAATGCAGCCCTTCTTGCCAGTAGAAACCTCCCGAGCCTGGTCTTTGTGGGCAGGATTTCTATCAGCATTCTGGTCTTCTGAGCTCTGACCAGAATCTCCCATGCAGAACAGCTGAAGCTGTTCCAGCACTTCTCTTGTTGGCGACATCTGTGAACCTTTCCTATCCCTTCCTGTAAGCCATTCCCACATGCTTGTGATCCACATGATTGGGTTTGATACCAAATTCTATCTCAGTATTCTCTTGTTGCAGGGACAAATACCCAACACCCAAAATGAAGGAAGGAAAGTTTAATGTAGCTTACAGTTAGTGGAGGTTTCAGTTCACACTCAGCTGGCTCCAAGCAGAGCAGCACATGGCAGAGAGCAACCTTTCATGGAGGCAGCAAAGAGCAGAGAGAAAAGGGCCTGGCAGCAGCTCAGCCAGCTAGCTAGTCTCTCTCCCCTCCTTCCATTGTAATGCAGAGTATCTGCCCCCGGGCACTTATACTTATAATCCCCGCATTGGATCAAAAATCAATCACGAACCCTAGAAGTCTGCCCCATGCCTTATATGAGGCTTTAGGGGGACACAAACCATAACAGATACATGTGCTAATACAACATGAGAAAGTCATTGGCCTGTACTGTGTCCTCCAGCTGCTTGGGGATGGAGCCTCCAGAGCATAGGACTTATTTTTCCCTGCCTACCTCTTTATGGCAGTGGATAATAAGGTTGAAAGGAATTTTGCTTGGTTTTAAGAAAGGTATGGCTCTAAATTTGAAAAGAAGCAGTCCTTGCTTAAGTATTAGATGAATACTATCTGTTCTAATATAAATCATACATGATGAATTTGAACTTTTGAAGTTTGAAATCTAATATTATTTCAGAAATTTGACTCAGTACACTGTCTTTGCAGTTATAGTACATATCTTAAATATATGAAGTAGAATTATATGAACAAGTTAGATATTTTTAACTTCTGACATATGGGTGGCTATGAGTTATAGGTTACTTTTACTTAAATTGCACTGGAATAAGAGTCAAAATAATATGATTTCCAGTTCTGATTTTTCTGTCTTCTCTCTACATGACAGGGTAAGTTATTGACCCTCTCTGCCTTTGTCACCTACCATCTCCCTGTTCTAATTATAGGCATATTTGTAACTGCTTTTCAGAACAGTAAATTGCATTTTTTGAAAGTATTTGGCAACATTTGGTTTATCTAGAAGTGGTTAGGTGTAGAGAAGTCAATCTGTGCATTATTATGTCTTAAAACAAGAAAAATAATGGCCTCTGTGCCTGTGAATTATGCACACATGCTAACTGTGTTCCCACTATTTAGGAGAGGGCAGAATAAAATGTAAAGTTCAATGTATACTCTGGGGACTATGTTAAAATTATATATTCCTTTTAAGAAAAGCTGAATGACATTTAAATGACATTTTTTCTGTTCTACAGGAACCAAAAGCAAATACCAAAGTAATTTGTAAGCGTTGCAAGGTAGTATTGGGAGAGATTGTGTCATCAGGTAAGAATTTCATAACATAAAGCTTCCTCCTTACCTAAAGATGAAATGAGCTTTTATAGTAAATATATATGAACAATTACTACTATTTTAATAGAATTGATGCTTTTTAAAACTAGAAGCCAATTAACACAACATGTCAGAACATTTGTATATTTTGACCATTTGAAGTGTGCAGCATTGATTTTTAAGCATTGAGAAATTGGGTCGTTTTTAATATTCATGTCCTCTTTGTAGTAGAAAGCAATACTGTGAAGTCTCTGTCTGTTTCTGCCTGTCATTCCTGGAGAAGAGAAGCCAAGAGGCCGCTTTGCTGGCTGCCATGCACCTCAGGGCTCTATTTTAGGCCTGAAGGTTGGGGAAGACCCAATGAAATGGAAGAAAATACATTCGAAGCTTTAGACTTTGTTCTGTATTCCTTTCCCAGTGGTACTAACAGTATTTTCTGTAAACTCGATTTTATATTACTTTAAAATATAATAATGAATCCTGATAATTAAAACATTGTTTAAAGATATGGTTTATAATGTCTAGAGAGGCTACCATATGCTGTGTTGGTTTTGTGGGTGATGAAAAATCACTTTTAATGTAATTAATTAGAAAGTATAATTTAAGTGAAACTGTTGTATTTAAGGGAAGGCAGATGGTGTTGTTTTCTGTTTGTTTTGTAAATCATCAAAATCTTACAACTAATTACTTGCTCAGAATGAAGGAAAAGGAAGACTGAGTGGTGGTGGCTTGCTATCCTCATTAACATTTTTGGAGAAAGAAAACAAACCCCTAAGCAACACCTTACAAATTTAAAGTTTGTAATTTTTTATTAAATTAAATAAGGTGAATTGGTTTTAAAATCCTACTTTCTCATCTAGGAAGCCCAGTTAAAATGTTAGTTGAGAAATAAAGACATAGGTGTGTATCCAAGAAAGACAAATGAGGACATGACAGTGATACGAACAAGAGATGTGAGCAGGCATTTTTGGAATGCCCTTGGCCATCTGGATGAGGTCATGTGCGTGAGGGCTGAGCTGGCAGTCACTGTAGAATGCTGGAAGGGGTCTGAATTTGAAGACATTAGGGACCCAGAGGCTGTCTGAGGCAAGGAGCTACAAGCAGTATCAGTAGTTCATGTGGAGCTATTGGACTCTTTCAAGTTTCCTCTTTCTCCTTTCAGTGTGCTTATGCAGTCCTCAAGACAGAGTGTTGGAGGACCTTTTTGTAGACTAGTGGAGGAATACCACCAGCAGGAGACACAACAGACCCTGATGCAGAGGGATTGTGCAACCGAAGGGGGCTTCTGTTGTTCCAAGAGTTTATATGCAGTCATCCTGTAGGCAGCAGCCATGTAGCTACACCAAGAGCTTCTCAACATTTTGTTGCCTTACACCTAAATATTAATATATTTGTAAGAAACCAGATATGGTATTATTGGAAATTCCCAATATAAAAGAGATTGAGATAAATACATTTCTAGTCAAGAAAGTAGAATAAAAGCTCTAAGAAGAAACAAAGCACACAAAAACAAAAAAGACCCAGGAGATATACAACAATATAGCTTTTATAATTAGAAGAACATGGGATTAAAAAATGTAATAGCTTAAAAGGTCAAAGTACTTTATGCGAAATAAGATTAAAGAACTACTCTAAAATTATACCACAAGACAGAAATTGAAAATTAGAAAAAAGTATAAAAATATATTCTTATTTAAGTTTCCTGCTGGTAGGGTCTTGGTCCGTTTTGCTTGGCTCTTATTTCAGCACTTATTATTATTTTTTTTTTAATTTTATTTATTTGTGTGTGTGTGTGTGTGTGCGCGCCCAGCTCAGCCCACCAGGGGGCGGGGCTGGCTGGCATGTGGTGCTGGGGGATTGAACCGCGGTCCCTGTGCTTTGTTAAGCTCGTTCTAAGTAGGTGCTTTAGACCACTGAGCCATCTCACCAGCCCCTTATTCCAGCACTTAGATCATACTGTCTGCCATGTATTCAGTACTTAGAGGCTTTTTGTTGAATGAGTGGTGAAAAGAGACTGAAGAGTAACCTGTATCGAGCAAATAGAAATCCTAGTGAGAGCAGAGACAGCAGGCTGGAGGAAAGATTAAGGAACAGAACTAACAGAAGTACTTCACGGGACTAGTTTTGAGAACTAAAGCTTCCGTTTCCTACTGAAAAAGAATCCCTAAATACCCAGTGTAATGAAAAGGGGTAAAATACAATGGTTTTTACAGTCTCCACAATAAATTTTCCAAATGGGAGAAGGCAGCTAGTGGGCAGTGGGTAACTAATTAGAATCATACTAAACTTGACAGTAGAACTGAAAACTAGAAGGTCATGAAGTAGTCCCTTAATAGTATATCCCAGAATTCTATATCCAGTCAAATTATTAGTTAAATATGAAGTTAATGTATGTTCTTTTGGAAATAATAACATTTCAAATGTAGACCTCAAAAGTATATTTTACTTAGGAATCTTGAATGTATTTATGTATGTCTGTATATCCTTAAAACTAGGGATTTCTCTTTGAGATGACATAGGAAGCAGGTTATCCAAAACAAAAAAAACAAGGTGGTGGAGGTTAAGGGTGAGAAATGTACAGCTAATTTAAAGAAAAACAGCTTGCATTGAAGCAAGGAGAGGGAAGATTACAGTAAAGACTATCTTCATTGTGAAGTGGAATTGATAACTTCTGTCACGTCCTTGTGTAACAAAACACTCTTGAGACAGCACATGGGAGGAATTAGCTAGAGATTCTTGGAAAACTAAACAAGTGAAAGAAGAAAGTAGTTATTTATTACTGGAAAAAAGGTTGAGGAAGAAAGGAGACCTCTTCACGGCATCATTTTGTCAAAATACTGTTAATGCTGAACAGTCGTTTACACAAAATTATGATGTGGCACAAGGTGGTGCATCGATATGAGTGACAGCGTATGAGGAGGCTAAGAGCTATCACACCTCTACTCTAAAAGTGTATTGCTAGGATTCTTTCTTAAAATGATGAGGTTAAGAAAATGGACAGAACCATCCCACAAAGAGCAAGTATAGAATTAGACAAGGTCAAACAAATTTTATCCTGTCATAGATGCCAGAGTTTAAAGTTTGGGTAGACCTCTGAAGCTACTTTGCTTCTGATTGCTTTCCTCAGTCCACAGATAACTTGGGCTGCCGAAGGTCATTTTTCTAAGAAGTCTTACTAGCTTGAGGTATTTGAGCAGAACATTTCCCCAGATCATTCGCCAGCAATTCAACTATGCAGGTGGAGTAAATACTCTCAGGAGCAGAGATATCAGTAACTGCACCCTTATTTCACAGTGTAAGTCCAGACCAGTTAGCTGGCTAGTATGCTAACTCAACACCCTTCAGTGAGAATAAAACAAAATCTGGAGTCACTACAAAGTATTATATATAGTGTCCTACTTTATCAGATACGCAAAGAAACCAGTTATTCATAGTTCAACTAAAGGACTCAGTAAACAGGTGCTAAGTGTAAATGTTGCATTTAGACAATATGGATTTAGGGGAATACATTGCAGTATTTACTATAAACACTGCAAAACATTAGGAGAAAGAAAATCTTTGACCAAATAGCAAATGTTGACAAGTTGGAAACTTCAAAGAAAGAACAAATAGGCAATTTCAGATTGAAACACGTAACTGAAAAGAATTCATTAGATAATTTAAACATAGATTTCAAATGACAGAAAAAAAATTGTTGAACTTGTGGATTTATACAAATGAGCAAATCCAAAGAACCCAGCAGATATAATGTGAAATAAAATGAGAAGAGCCTCACATTTGAGGGGCAATATCAGGTCTTTTCCGTAAATGTTCAAATGGATTTTCAGAGGATGAAGAGAGAAGAGCCAGAAAAAAAATCTATAGAAAGAAATTGGCTGAGATCTTAGCAAACTTGATGAAAAATATTTTTTCAGAGCTAAGAATTTCAGTAAACCCTAAGCAGTTAAGCTGTTGAAAAGCAAAGAGGAAAGGAGAATCTTGAACATATCAAGAAAACAAAGCAAAATAGCATATGTAGGGATTTCATGGTACAATTGAGGTAGATTTCTTATAGAAATATTGACTTGTACAAAGCACAAGTAAAATATGCAGGTACTGGGAGAAAAGACCAACAGTGCTATAGCCAGTTAAATTTGCTTTTAAATAAAGGCAAAAATAAAGATATTTCTAGATAAGTACTTGGAAATAACACATTACAAGTGGACTTTCTCTACAAAAATTCCTCAGGCTATAGTGAAAGACAGGAGTTGGTAGCTAGAACCCATGGGAAGGAAGAATGGGTGGGAAAAGTGGGAAATGGATGAGGGAATTACCGCAAAAGCAGATCAGCATCATATGCCAGTCGGATTTTTCCTGCAGTTTGCTAATTTTCTAAAATTATAGATTTGTTCTTATTGCTGTGAGGACAAAAACGAAAATCTCCACAAAAGGGCAGCCCTGTCTCACAATCTGAAATGCTAAAAGCCACGCCCTCCCAGGGCAGTGACTCAAGTGGAAGAGCCCTGTGAGGTCACGAATAGGTATTAATCTCTTGGGGACCACGGGGAACTTCAGTTATTGAGCTTGGTGAAGCCTACCTGGGACCGGACATGTGCCTTGGCAAAACCTGATGCAGGTCATCTCTGGAGGAAAATGCTTTCATTGCAGAAGTCTTTACTCCCACAAGCAATTTTTCGAGTAGCATTTAGCATACCACTGAAGATAAGTAGGCGAACAAGCCAAATAGACTTCCATCAACAAGAAGTAACAAAAACCAGCTGAGAATGGAAACAGACTTTAAATGGACTTATAGTATATGAACTATAAGCCAACCATACTTAGTCTGTTATCACTACAAAAGATTTGGCAGTAACGGAACAAACAAGGAGATTTTAGCATTAAGTGTATTTGGAAAAAGGTACAATAGAGTTTCTAAAAGAAATAAGGTATCATGTATCAACAGAAACAGCTATAATACAAGATGATGCATATGTGTGAGAACGTGCAAGGTGGGCTGACGGTGGTCACCACAGTCAGATGAGGCAGCTCCACAGGCCCCTCCGCACAGTAGAGATCTGAAGGACCCAGTGGAGTGTCTGGGGCTCACTGCAGTGTCCATGTGGGTCCATATCAGGGGCCTGTGCTGGGAGCCAGGAGGTGGTGTCCAAGGGGCAGGTGCAGCTTGGAGCTCCTCTGAAGAACAGCAGCAGGTCCATCCTCTCCTGTGTGTTATCCAGGTGAAGAGCCACCGAGGCTGGGTCTGCCACATCCCGGGTATGGAGTTGCTTAGCGAGTTTACATAAGCTTTTACTCAAATTGACACAATCAATGAACATCACATATTGTAATTATAATTAAAAATTCAGAGTGTCATTTAATAGCATATTAGGTACAACTTGAAGAAAGAATCAGTGCATAGAAGATAGACGAGAAGAAAAGTCTATAATCCTGTACACAGGCAATAAAAAGATAAAGCATATACCGGGAATGTAGAATGAAAGGAGTTCACATGTGTTCAATTGGTCTTCCTCAAAGAAAAGAGGAAAGAAACAGGGCACTGACAATATTTGAACAGGTAATCATTGAAAATTGTACAAGTGATGAAGAATAACACTCCAGATTCAAGAGGTACAGTGGATTCCAATTCTGTGAGGCCACGCTGGGTAAGTAAAAAGACATCTGTACCTAGCCATGTTGGAGTACAGCTGCAGAAAGAAAAGCAGAGAGAACATCTCAAAAGCAGCCGAAGAAAACTGATAGGTATCTTCAAAGGAGCAGAAGTAATTTGAAGAGAGTGGAATGATACTGTCACTGTGTGCAAAGAAATAACTGTTATCTCTAGAATTTTATGTCAGAAGAAACTATCCTTCAGCAAAGAGGGCAAAGATAAATACATTCTCTGACAAAAACGGGGATAATTCACCACTAATGGTTCTTTAGAAAGAGATTATCCAATTTTGTAAGCATATCCAGTGTTACACCTTATCACTTAAAAATATTTTGCTTACTGCTAAAAAAGTTAAATTTCCTTTTAGTAATGATAAGATTAAATGTTTTAACAGTTTTTTTTTAAAAAAAATAGCTGTTTATATTAATGTCTCTAATTGTATCTGTATTGCTTAAAATTTTGTGTAAACTAAGTAAATTCATAACCAGACGTAGTGAGACTTATACCATAACAGTTAGTGAGTTGTAATTCAAAGCCTTTTTTAGTAACTCCTAGGCTATTTTATAGGAATGAGAAAATTCAGTGCTATTCTATAGAAATGAAGACATCTGGTCTCTAATTTCTACGTAAACAGGTTAAGGCTGTGATGTGGCTAATTTTTATAACCCTGCATGTGTGTGAAGAGACTCTCGGTGCTTCACGCTGACTGCACATGAACGTCCACACAGACATGGTGCTGCTTGGTGCCGTGGGCCATGCCTTGTACTCACCAGCACTCTCTCTTTGAAGCAGAGGTTTTGGAAAAGGCTTATTGAATGTGAATTTCACCAACACATGGAATATTCAATGTGGGGCATCATGATAGGGAGCCAACATGCCCACAATAAAAATACTGAACCAAAAGATGGAGTGAGGTGGGCGAAGAGGGAGGGAAGTGGTATGAGAAAAGGAATTAAGATGTGTTATGTGCAAGTGCTAACTCCACAGGTGGAACTGTAAACATTATGCTCTACAAACGTGTACTAGTAATTTTTAAAAAAAATTAGTATATTAAGGAGAAGGTTCTTAATTGTGTTCTTTTTTTTCCAGAAACTACTAAGTTTTACAAGACAGAGGTAATTATTCAGCCATCTGAGAGGAGCTTTCCCATCATTCCAAGGTACACATAACAAATAAAGCTTATTTTATAATTTCCAGTGTAGAAAAGTAGGTACAATTTATGAGGCATTCATTCGTATTTGAACTATTTTGAAAGGGAGAGCAAATTTGAGAAAGGCTTCAGGTAGTTGAACCCCCACACAGGGACAGGTTGAGGACTTACTTATGTTTTGCTTGTAGAATGGTATTGACCAGTGGTGGCAAACCTTTTAGAGCTTTCAGTGTTACAAACAGCCTATTGCAGCGTGTGTGCCATAAGTTCGACCCCGCTGGTAGGCAAGTGTGTCTATACAACTCTTCTAATTCTGAAAGTTTGTGTCAGTGTGTGTATACACGCAGGTGGGCAAGCACACATGCGTGCTTCTTCCTGTGTGCCACGTGTCCAGAACAACTCAGAGATGCTGCCTCAAGATTTTTTTAAAAGGGGTAAAAGGGCAGAGGCAGAGAAAAGGTAGGAAAGTAACTGTGGTACAGCACTTGCCCAGGGTATGGAAAAACATTTGGAAAGTTACCTACCCTATGAATCTACTAGGGTTTCTTTTCTTTTGATTACTTTACCTTACAAACAAAACTTAACTGGTATCCTTAAATTTGTTTATAGATACTCAGACATTTTGGCATCCTAATTATAAACTTTGGCTTTATCCTACTGCAAATTCTTTTATTTTGTACTTTAGAGCTGTCACTTTCAGGAGCTCTAAATGGGGAAAAAAATCATAGATAAAGCTGTGTTTGGGAATAGATTTCTCATCTTCTTTTGTAACTTAGTTATTCACTGTTTCGAGTGTTACAGTACAAATGGAATGTCAACTTATTCTAATGTACTTTTTGTCTGTGGGGGAATAGTTAGGTTTGGGGTGAAAATGTATTAGCTGCTGGGGAATATGCTTTAAAAAGAGTGGCGCAAGGCAAATATACTAAAGTATACTAAAATCCACATTAGTGTGGACTGTGAGGAAGGGGCGGTGGGCACGGAAGTGTGGCCGCTGATGCCCTGCCTTTTGGGTGCCCCCGGGAGAGGCGCGCTGTGAAGACTGGTTTCTGTTCCAACAGGTCTCAGTTTGTCGAGAGTGCGGTTGCGCAGTGTCTGCAGGAGCTGTCCTCGGCTAGAAGCACATTTAGGTACACCGTTCAGGGCCAGGAGGGCAAAGTGTACGTCCTGGTAAGAAGTTTCATCTAGTGATTTGCATTCTAGTAATCTACACTCTCAGAAATGATTTTTTTCCTCATTATTTCAATTCTCAAGTCTAGAAGGAAAATGATCAAAAATTGAATTTCTACTACCTTTAGTTTATAAATTACACTTTCTTACTGCACTAACAGGTGAGTGAGCATCTCTGCATAGTAGGCTCTAGGGAAACAGAAAAAGAAACCCTGACTCCTGCCCTTGTGAAACTCGGATCACAACGTATGATTTTTTTAAGTAATTATTTATTTGGTACACAGCTCAGACTCATAGTGATCCTCCTGTCTCAGCCTCCCCAGTGCTGAGATTACAGCCGTGCACCACTACGCCCAGTTTTGGTGGCCCGCATGGCATGTGGTACTGGGGATTGAACCTGGGTCCTTGCACTTGCCAGGCAGGTGCTTAGACCACCAAGCTATCTGCCCAGCCCCACAGAGTAGGATTTTTTTTAACTCTCAGTTTATAATGGCTTTTTGGGTCCATGTAACATTTTGTTTTGCTTGTATTTGATACTCTGTATTTTATTACTTCTATTGTTTCTGGTTGCCTCTGACGCCTTGAGTTTTGGAGAAGTTGTTCTGTGCTTAGCAGAATCCATCATTCCTTAGGTGTACTTTGGGGTCTAATATTACACTGCTTCTATTTGTAGTAATGCTCTGCCAAAATGAATCTGGGGATTTCTCTGGAAAAGCAAGTGTCATGGCCCAACTGTTTGATTAAGCCAGTTAACATATATTAAGGACTTCGTACTTGATAGGCACTGTCTAGGTATTCGAGCTGGAACAAGATTGCCTTGAAAGAACTCACAAGCTGATTTCTTCTTAATTCTGTGCCTCCTTGCTGCCTTTTTTCTGTTAGGCTGTTTTTGCCCCTTACTAATTTCTGAGAGGTCTCTAATTAAGCATGATGTTATTATTTTTGTATTAAATGTTTTTCCTTGTTACCTTTTTTAATGTTGTGAATTGCTTCATAAAACCTACCTTGCCTACAAATTAGATAAGTGAATCTCCATTTTTTTCTAGTATGTTTTATAGTATTTTTGGAATGGTTATACAAAATATAGATATGGTTATA